GTATATATATTTAAATAAAATAAACAAGTAAAAACTGTGGCACATACTTACTGCCAGCTCATCAACAGTGTAAAAACAAAAACAAAACACAAATAATTCTGAATGTAGCTAATAACACTTCAATTTATAAAGCTTAAAGTGACTGTCTGCTCCTAGGTAATTGGATGTGTGCTTAATGTAATCATGATTAACATCTTTTAATGTGGAAATAGAGTGTACACATTTATCTCATATCCTAAAATTTAAGCAACTTCGTACCACTCAGATTATCCACTTGTGCATTAGAATCATCTTGATTGTATTCTATTTCACAAAAGCATTCATTTAAATGATTGTTTCAAGTTTAGTGAAAGAGTTTCTTAAAATCCATGACTGGAGTCATTTATGTCTTGTAAAGTGACCAAGAGAGGGACACATACATTACTACTGCTGGGCACAAACAAATACTCCCCTCCCCACCGTCCCCACAAAAGGTTCTATCTCTTATGTAGCAGCCAAGGTTGCAGTCTTTCTGGACACAGGCAAGCAACGTTTTCTCTGAAAGGCTCTGAGAATGTTTATAGCTGCTAACCATCCCTTCACCCTATGGATACGATCCTGTCCCTTCATTGTGACCTTGGGGAAGGTAGGAGGTGGGCTTAGGAAGTCCCTTTGTCAGAGAACCTAGAAAAGTCATGATTGCCTTATTTCTGCTCTTGATGTGTTGACGTCAACTAGAGCATTTAAGAGAGATGCTGCTCTGAATAATGATGTTGATTTTTCTTCTGCCTCATCAGTTAGAGAAAAAATAGCTTCCAGCACTCATTGATCACTACTCGGGCAAGTGGCAGTGGAATTGGTGGTATTATCAGTTTCTTGCAGCCATTACCTCTGCTTGCTGACACTAAGACACTATGACAGGCAAACAAAGTGACTCAAACTGGCGAATGGATGTCACAGTTACATAGCTCAACATTACGGTTTTTTGAATGAGTGTGGTACATATCTTGGTTAGATGATACGATTTTTTATAGGAAATCACGCATTATATTATCGTTTTTTATACATTTAAAAGTGTATTATTCATGCTGGCTTACCTGTCTTCCTATTTTTATTTATTCTGGCGTTTATTCCTGCCTTTGTTCCCCATTACTAAATACTGTGCCTCCAATTGAAGATATAAATATATGAGATAATAAAAGGAAACGAATTCTAATCAATTAATAGCATTCTTAATTCAAGATTGGCTAGCAAAAAAGAATTTAATGTTTCAAACTATGGCATTTTTAAGTTATCTTTTACCAAGTTTAACCTACTCAACTTACCATCACCACAAAACATAGCTATAACATTTTTTACAAGCCATGTTTACAACTACTTGCCTTAAGGTGATTGGCTGGAGAGTAAAATGATCGAGGGGCAGCCCTCGTAATTACAATTTAGGACTACATTTGGGATTCTAGAGAGATTCTATTTAAAGTCAGGAAAGCTTTCTGATAAGGTGCTTCCTTACACTCATCCGTGGCAGAAGTGGTGTTCTCCTCTGGGTTTTCACAGCTACTGACAATGGCGACTGCACTAAATGATCTTCGTCTGACCTTGGAGTCTGATGTGCAGGATTCTCGAACTGGTGGAGGCTTTTCCATGTTGTGCAGCTGCTGATCTTTCCAGTCCAACTGTTTGGCACTACAAAAGGGGGCATATACTTCAACACTTCCCTCGAACTGCAGGCAGTTCACTTTGTAATACTTTCTCTTCACTTCCAAGACATCATGAAACCTATGGCCCCAGAGAATTTCTCGGGGAATGTAGGAGCTTCTAGATTGGTGGGATGTCCCAGTGGAATCACCAGTATAGATGAACGTCACCAAAATCTCAAAGTTATCTTTGGCTACTGCTTTGCGGTCAAGGGCGTATAGAGGGCTCTCATGGTCAATTTCATGAACGATAGTTACTGGTGTGACCAGGATGATCTGGTCATTGACTAATTTGAGGTCTTTAAATGCCATTGTCATCCTCCCTTCACTGTCTTCTGTGTAGCGGAGAAGCTGGGCTCTAACTGTTCCCTCTACCACGTGGTTTGGTCGGAAATCACCGATGCGCCACATGAGGCAAAGCTTCCCATCTCTCATGCCTATGAGTGCAAAATAGCTAAAACGAATGGTTTGGGCTCTCTTCCGAGCAGTTGCCATTTTGGCCAAGGCGGCCCCAATGATGAAGGTATTTATGATGCAACTTAAGATGGACTGAAGGATCACCATGAGCACTGCCACAGAGCATTCTTCAGTGACACAACGGTAACCGTACCCTATGGTGGTTTGGGTCTCAAGGGAGAACAAAAATGCCGCTGTGAAAGAATGGACGTTGTCAACACAAGGTGTGATGTCCGGATCATTTAACAGATCTCCGTGATGAAACGCTATGAGCCAAAAGATGGAGCCAAATATCAACCATGAGAGAATATAAGATAAAGAAAATATCACAAACATATGGCGCCACTTGGTGTCCACAAGAGTGGTGAAGATGTCGACCACGTAGCTCCCCCATTCTCCGAAAATGTGCTTGAAGTACACATTACAGCTGCCATCTTTGTGGAGCAGACGTCTTCTTGCTCTTCTCTTCTCAGCTATAACGTGCTCTGGCGGGTAGCTGGGGAATCTGGAGTCCACGTTTACAACCCTATAGCTGCTGCCGTAATAGCTCATTCTTTCCTGTGTCCTTAGAGCATCCAGGTGTGTTTTGTAGTAGTAATAATTCTAGGTGTGTTGCTATTTCTTGGTTTGAGTTTTCAGTTAAAATCTAAAAAATAATAATAATTAAACACATTTTAGCTTTAGAATTCAATTTACATCTTTATAGCAATTCACCAAATTTGGAGCAGTGTTATACCACCTAAAATAGCTAAGACTTCATTTGAACATTGGAGACACTCAATATTGATTACTCATTTCAGTTTAGAATCCAAACTCAGTCATTATAGGAACAAAATATGCAATTAGAGAAAATAACATTTTTATGTACGCATAAGGCAATGTAAACATAAGGCATATGTTTACTCAAGCCTAAACACTGTGATTATCCCAGATGATGCCTCCCTACCTTTCCTGACCTTACATAAAAAAAATTTAAAAAAAAAATGGCTTTATTTGTATAGACTCCTATTGCACGATGGCATTTAGAAAACAACATAATCTATAATATAAAAAGACAAAATATAATTCAAACATGTGCCCAGCAGTCTTATAAGCTTTCTAAGTCAAATGGTTTTCTTTAAAAGAAGGATGCAACAAGGGGTTTCTACTTTCTTATGATAGTGCTACTTACATGCCGCTTGTTATAATAGGCAAGCCCTCACCTTCAGGACCTGTTGCTCTACTTTCTCTCTTTTCCACGGAGGCCTTTCTTCCTTGTCTACTTCCCACAACAGAACAGAACTGACAGAAGCACCTACTTCACATTAAACTCCTTTTCCCCTAGCTCCACCTTTAGTCTTGAAAGAAAAAAAACATTTCTTTATCACAGAGGAGTTAAAACCACTCCCAGGTAAGCTCTCAGTAAGGTGTAAAATTGCTTCTGCCTTTGTCTCATAACATCCATTTTTTTTTCTTTTTCTTTTTTTTGGACACTGGCAGCTCTTCTCTTCCCCTCTGAATAGAAGCCGAAAATTTGCCAAAGTTGCTAATCTTGTTTCCCTCTTAAAGGGAGCATGCTACAATTGGACCCTTCTCTCCAGCTCTTCAGTGTTTTCCTGATGCTTTCACCGCCATCCCAAGCAAAATAATTCTTCTCCCTTCAAATTTAGTCTTGAAAAGATAAAGACAGAACATACAGTTCTTAGTTCTTATCATGTTTAGCATCCATGATACAGGCCGATGGATTTCCTAGCTCAAATCTGAAAGTAAAGTTAAAAAATGCAATGTCAAAATCGTCCTTAGTATGGTATATGTATACCATGGAGTACTATTCAGCTTTAAGAAACAATGGTGATATAGCACCTCTTGTATACTCCTGGATAGAGCTGGAACGCATTCTACTAAGTGAGGTATCCCAGGAATGGAAAGACAAGCACCACATGTACTCACCATCAAATTGGTATTAACTGATCAACACATAAATGCACATGTAAGAATAACATCTATTGGATGTTGGGCATGGGGGTAGGGGGGAAGGGGGAGGAGGGAGGAGGGGATGGGTATTTGCATACACAAAGAGTGCAATGCGCACCACCCGAAGGATGGACATATTTGAAACTCGGACTTGGGGGGGGGGGCAAGGGCAACATACGTAACCTAAACATCTGTACCCCCATAATATGCTGAAATAAAAAAAAAATCATCCTTATTTACTTCTGTGCAAAAGAAGAAAGAAGTAACTGCCGCCTAATTTTAAGGGGTTAGTAATTATTAGAAAACATGTTCTACATAGTAGGCCTCTGTGAGATGGGATAAAGGGAGTATAACGGGGAAACTTTAAGGAATCTGCCACTCCAATGCATAGAAAATGCAGTATGAGTAAGCGCTATTCCTGACTTTGAGACCCATTGGAGCCAACCAGAGAAATTGATCACTAAATACATACTTAGCATCTTCCCTGCTGCAAAAAGGCAGAAAGAGTTAACTTCCCTGCAGTGAAAAAGAATCATTTTTCTTTTCCTCCAGGGATCGGGGCCCACTTTACAATAAACTCTTTGTTTAGTGGACCACTTACGAGGATGGACTCTGCTTACTGCTGAAAAATCTTGCAAGGCGTGTATCAATTCCTCTCTGCCCCCCTCCTGCCTTATTAGCCAATTTATCCACTCGTTCTCCAGATCTGTTTTGAGTCGTTAACATCCTTTCCTTCATCAGCACAAAACTGTGTTTTGGGGGACACAATGGTATAATTTTAGGGTGCGACCCTGGGCTTAATTGCTTACTGGAATGTTGACTGTAAAATATTTTCACGTATTTTGTCCATAACATCTACCTTTCATGGGAGGTTCCCGTCCGATTTGTCATTGAACGTTCCTTCACAAACAGAAGCAGCTGTTACAGGGGTCTCAGTCTCCACTCTCCCACTTGATCATATCGCGTATGAGAATGGGACCAGCGATAATCAAAGACCCATATGATTTCAAATTAAAAAGCAGATTTGGAAATAGAATCGTTTTCTTGTTAAATGCTCTACACTCAGTTCCTTCAAGGGAACTACACACATTGTGAGAGTCTGAGAGTTAGAAAACACAGTTCATAAATCAAGAGCTACTGTGTGCCTCTGCTCTTTTCTGCTGCCAAAATAAAAGAAGTTTTTATTTGAAGTGGCATTCAGTTGGCATCACTTTGAATTCCAGTGATACCAGCAACTGTTATAAACAAGCCACTTCTAAAGCACCTTCCAAAATGTGCTAATTAGGGGATGAATTTTTAGTTAATACAAGTTACAAGTGAGCAAATTTGAGTATGTGGAAAATTTGTTGTTGAATAATGTAACAATTTCAGAGGTACAAGTTACAACTGTGAGAATTCTGCCCTGAACTCACCATGTCCTCTGATGTGGTTCGTTATTGTGAATACTAATTTCAGCTTGTCCAGAGATGAGCGTTCAGATCTTAAGTGTACACACTTTATTCACAATTTTTTGAAACTCCAACCACATAAATGATACACTTTTAAAAAGACAATTGTCTTTAAGCTAAATGACAGATTATAATCAAATGAATCATATTCAATCTGATTCATTTCTCAGTCTGTATAAGATGAGCAAAGAACTTTATAGAGGCAGGTCCTTTTGCCAAAATGGCTAGACAAAATAAATATGTATTACTCCCTTGCTTAGTATATTGCATTAATGTGAGCACTTTTCCAATTCTTTGCCATTAAATAATAGAGGATAGCACTTGTTGATATTTATCATTTGTACTTCTTAGGATTGAAACTTGGCCTTAGAAGTGTCTTAATGCTTTCATAATCATCTTGTCACCAACGAGTCCACCATGAGAAAGCATCTGCAATGTTCCTACTTCTGTATTTCTTTTTGTATGTTGCTGTCTATAAACTAATAGTGGCTATTTCATTGGTCTCGAAATTCCTTTTTTTAAAATTGAGTATGAAAATTAGATCAACTGTAATTTCAAAATTGTGAAATATAAAGTTCAAAAGTAAATGTTGACTCTGGTAAGGTCTGTCTTGCCAGGTAATGAATGACAAAGGTAGGAAAAGCATAGAGACTGTGTTACCATGACATAGAATTCTTTTACAGATGAGGCTAGAGTAAGAGGCAATGCACCCTCAGGATGCTGGCGTTTCCTCAGGATGCCGTCAAAGTTCATTAGAATGTCCAAAGACTCTAAGGAAAGCACTGAGAAACTCCTTGATTTACTTCATCCCGTGGAAAGAGCTGAGAGAGAGGAAGTTAGAGAAGTCAGTAAGCCGAATCCTGATTGTCACTTTTCTCATATCTTGCTCATTGTATTAAGTAAAGACATTTAAAAAAAAATTATGAATCTACTTTGACTAGTAGGATCTGCTTTTAGGCCTCAGCTTTCTAGGTCTTTATATGGATTCAAGGAGAAACCTGTACTAATTTATCACATATCAAACGGGCCATAAACACAGCAGGGGACATTTGAAACAAAGCAACTGAACGTTCTGCATATTTGTCCCTGTTTCTTCCTTTGCCTCATCAGACTCACAAATTTTGAAACGATTCTTTTGCCATGTTGTCACATCCCCTCAAATTTAGCTATTTACCAGGTAAACTGCTCTTGTAGATAGTTCTTCAAAGGTAAGCTTTTCATCGCATGTTGAGGGGACAACACAATGGTTAAGACTTTACCGCCCTGTGTCACTTTCATGATAAAATCTGATCTTGTCTCTAGCACCCACTTAACATAATATAGTAATATGAATTGTCTACCTTGTATACATTGATATGCACCACAAAAAAACGGTCTCAAGTTTCTATGGTAAAATCTAGTTATTAATGTCTGTAGCCTTTGAGGTTAACAAGTCCTTTTTTTTTTTTTTTTTTTACCATATAAACCGTAAAGGACCTGAGGTACTTAATCCATGAGGTCATCAGTTATCAAGTTACTTTCCTGGCAACTATTAGATGAGATAAGTTTTGGTGGAAATGTGAGAACCAATGGGGTAGGGAGTAGAAAAGATGTCCTGATTCCTCATGCAGGTCAGAGCCCTTGAAGACAGGCTGGGGTGGAATTCTCAGCGGAAGAAGGAGGCACAGGCAGCGTGGTCGGTGAGGACTAGCTCAGTAGATGAAGGTGCAATCAGATGGCACATATGGGTAGGCTTTGGGCGCTAAGGAGGAGAGAGGGGGGGTATTAATGAGTTAGGACACCCCCTCACCCCACCAAAAGTTAGGCTGTTTTGCCATCTTGCTCAAAACCTGTTCCACAACTTTTGTCTTGAAATTATGCAGGAACCTTATCTAGCCTGGAATCCTCCTAGGACATTTAGGCCCATGTAAGTGGAGCTCTTCATTCAGCCATTGAACTCCTGCTTCACCCAAAACCTTTTAGATAACTGCCAGTACTTCTCTGAATACTCCCCGACTCCCTAACTTCACACAGTTTCTCCTTTGTTGACAAGTCAGTGGCATTCTCATGTTTTCTCCTCATCCCCAGAGGAGGCCTCTGGTTGACCTACACCTCTCCTCTTTCTGTTCTCTTCTCCCTCCCACCCCAACCCAATATCCTGGTGACTGAGGA